ATTCTGAATTGTTTTATCTGTCAATGTAAATATTACTGATGATACAGCATTGACGTGTGAATCAAATCATTAGAAATTACAACAAATAAATTAACACACAACAATACGAGAATGCATCTTTAAGTTGTGATGGAGAGACCGAAAGCTTGGATCCGATGGAAGCACACGAGTTTTATTTCTATTGTTATCGAAAATCTGGGGAAAGGAGTACTTTTAGGAGGATCCGACGGTTACTCAACAGCTTCGATTGGATCAGTCGTTGCGATTTCATGTTTTGAAAGGGAAGGAGAATGAGGCAGATTCTCCAGATGAACGTCCATCACAAATCGGCTCTCAATGACACATGTGAACTATTTTATCAGTCAATTGTTGGATTTCATTCCGATCAAAATTGCTCATTCGCATGAATAAATCAGGAACTGGCGGCACGGCTAATCGACTTAGGTCTGAAGAGCCTGAAATTTAAAAGATAATGTCATAAATCAATTTCTAACTAATCTTATATCATTCAGACAAGCTTAAGGCTAAGCCCAAAAGCTAACCTAGAGTCGAGCCTGTGCCTCGGCTCGAATCAGAGAAAACATTTTCGTCATCCAATGAGCTTGCTTGAGAGCTTGTGACCTGTCTTCGCTCTCTATGTGGGCACAGGTCTACCGATCCCCATATTACTCTTTGGTGAGCAGACCTTTGCCATTTTTGGCCAAACATTCTGACAAGCGGTTCATCCCATCTCATTCGTGGTTAGCCTAAGGGCCTCTTCACTCCTCTTGGAATCCACTGTGTTATTCGACTAGTCCAACGGTTATCATTCAACGGTTATCAACGTTAGTCCAACGGTTATCATTCGTCATCCAATATGGGAGTTATATTGTTTTACGCTCACTCATACTCCGAGGTATTGATAACATCAATGATCTGCTCCTATAACATTAATCTGTGCTATTCCAAACCCAAATCTAACCACCACCCATCCATCAAAATAACCAACCTCCATCAACTGCAACCATGAAACCAGCTCCACCTGCGGCCAACTCACAACGCAACCATGGAAAAAGCCTTCTCAATGCTCTTTTAATCCCTGCTTCATCACTATAACATAAGTTATTTTTCATTTGAAGTATCACTAATGTACTGATTAGTTTCCAACAGAAAAATACCATCTGAATATAGGATATTTGTTTAGATAACTTCGCAAATTGTCTGATTAATCAATTTCTCAAATAATTCAGATTGAATCATCCATCAATAAAGCTCATCGAATTTTCATCTCAACTTTCTACTTCCGAACAAACTCTGCACTCACAAACATAAACCAGTGATATTGACCTAATTATGAATGAATAAATGAATAAAATCACCATGAAAATTCACTTGTACGATGTAAATATGATGATGTGGATCATTGCATTTTCTCTGATCGGCAAATTACTATTTACGTTGCAATATGCATTGGCGAGATCATCCGCAAGTCTATGATTCAAATAAATTGCATTATTGCATTATTTAAAATACAGTTTAGACGCAGATTAGCCCTCAAAAAGCATTGAACGTACAAATAAATTGACAATTCCGTGTATAATTCATCCAAAAAGCAAATTTTCACCAATATACGAACGTACTTGATGGGTTCCACTAGACCATCTTCATCTTCAGACACACTACTTAAGTTCTTTAATAAGTACATCCAATCTGCACGTTTCGCTGTGAAGTCAGGAAAAACCATCTTCCCATCATCAAGGGGATATACGGCTACAAGTTGCAGTTTTCCCTCCTTCTCATCCAGTCCCCAATTATCTGTCACCGATTGTATCACCTGTAACTTAGACTATTTGTGCTATCCCACTGATAAGTGATGATAATGGTACTAACAGAGATAGCAAACGGACTCATTGATAAAGATAAGCATAAGCTAGATGCAGTTCATAGAATTTGCTCAGAGAAATGAATTGATTTTTGAACTGAAGTGCATTCTACTAAACTAGCCTTTGCATAATCATGAAGAGTTATATTTGATACATCCACAACAAATACAAAATAACCGGAGCAATGATTGAGGGCAGGTGTCTGAGCTGAAAACAATTCAGACTAAAAGTTAATTAATAACGGTGTTCTTCGTCAGCTTTATTCAAGTTAAAGAACATGAAATTTTGACATGGTCCGGGAACATTCTCATACAACTGAAATGACTATAGTTATATCATAGAAACTAGACATTAACGCTAAGAATATACATAATTTCCCCGCAGCTCAGCACCCGTGTCATCTCAGTTGATCAACAAAAGTTTTCTTCTGTGAGCACATGGTAAACGAGGGGAAAATGCGATAATCTGGTTGAGAAAGAAGTAAAATATGAGTGAATGAATTTAATTCAATGTTATATTTCATTTATGTGTGCGGGAGTGGGTTTCGGAGTTGTGGTTGGCATTTTGGTCGGCCTCTGAAATAGTTTGAGATAACCCGCAGGTAATTTCCCATCAGTGGTTTTCTTACATTTATTTGGATTTTTTGCGTAATCATGAGTTTACGTTTGCATTTTTTTTTCTTTAACTTCATTTTGATTGTTCGTGTAATCATGAGTTTGCGAGGCTTGGAAGGGATGATACAAGAGATTCGGCTGAACTGAGACTGGACTTGGACTTCAGGGTGAAACTGGAGCAGTTTCCGGGGATATTGTGGTTGTTCCTAGGACAGTCGTCGGACTACTTTTTTTGC